ATGTTCTAGGTACAAAAAAAGTAAATACTTAAAAAAGAGTTTGGAAAATTCTAAGGAGCAAGGAGACCACATGGATTTTCTCATTTAATTTTCACAATACCCTAAGTGATAGGTATTATTTCCATTTTTGCATACGAGGAAACTAAGCATCTTGAGGACAGATAATTATTCCAAGGCCACATAAATTAAGTGGCAAATCTAAGATTTGAATCTGCAAAACTTGACTCTAGAATCCAGGCTTTTAAGCTCTAAAGGAGACTACTTTTTAAGTATTTTTGACTAATTCTTCATGTTTCTTTTTCTTTTTTAATTGAAACAATTACACATATTTGTTGGGTACAGAATTGACTATGAGTATTTGTTATAGTATGTGATGGTCAAATCAGGATAGTTGGTGTATTTGTCATTGCAAAACATATTTATTCTTTGTGGGCATTTAACCAATTTCTCCCTGCCTTCCTCTCCTCCCCCTTTCCCCACTTCTACTAACCACAGTTCTCTTCTCTCTTTCTGAGAGTTCAATGTATTATTGTGCTTGTTGTTTGTTTCTCTCTCTCTTTCTCTTTTCCCTCCCTCCCTCCCTCACTCCCTTCCTTCTCTCTCTTTCTTTCTTCCCACTAATGAGTGAGAACATGCAATATTTCTCTTTCTGTTGCTGAGAATGGCGGAATTTTATTCTTTTTAATGGTGGAGTAGTCCATTGTGTATATTTACCACATTTTTTTTTTTTTTTATTCAGCCATCCATTGGTGGACATTTGGGTTGGTTCCGTACCTTGGCTATTGTAAATAGAGCTGCAATAAACATGGGAGTGTGGGTATTCCTTAGACATGATGATTTCCATTCCTTTGAGTATATACCCAGTAATGGGATTGCTGGATCATATGGTAGTTCTATCTGCCTAATTTTGATTTCTAGCTTTGTATTTAATTAGTCACTAAACTTTGTGGAGTCTTTAAGTTTTTCTAGATATAAGATTGTGTCATCTGTGAATAGAGATAGTTTTACTTTTTCCTTCACAATTTGGATGTCTTTTATTTTTATCTTGCCAATTGCTCTTGCTAGAACTTCTAGTAGTATGTTGAATGGAAGTAGTGACAGTGGGCATCCTTGTCTTATTCTTGATCTTGGGTAAAAAGTTTTCAATCTTTCACCGTTAAGTATGATGTTAGCTGTAGGTTTTTCATGTATGAGCTTTATCATGTTGAATTCTGATTCCTAGTTTGTTGTTTTTATCATGAAAAGCTGTTGGATCTTGTTAAATAATTTTTCTGCATCAATTGAGATGATTGTGTATTTTTTTCCTTCATTCTTTAATGTAGTAGATTACACCAATTGATTTTCATGTATTGAACCACCTTTGTATTCCTGCAATAAATCCCACTGGGCTATGATGTATAAACGTTTTAATATGTTGCTAAATGCATTTTGCTAGTATTTTTGTTGGAGATTTCTACATGTGTATTCATAAGGGATATTAGTCTGTAGTTTTCTTCTCTTATGGTGTCTTTGTCTTCTGTATCAGTTCAGTCCTGGCCTCATAAAATGGGTTAGAAAGTAACTCATTCTCTCCTCTTCTATTTTTGGAAGAGTTTTAGAAGAATTGATTCTAATTCTTCTTTAAATTTTTGGTAGAATTCACCAGAAAAGCCATCTAGTCTTGGGCTTTTCTTTGTTGAGAGGTTTTTATTTGTATTTTCTATTTCTTCTTGAGTCAGTTTTGGTGGTTTGTGTGTATTTAGAAATTTGTCCATTTTATCTAGGTTATGTAATTTTTGGCATACAGTTGTTCATAATATTCTCTTATAATTCTTTTTATTTATGTAAAATCAGAAGGGCCCCCTTTTCATTTCTGATTTTAGTAATTTGTGTCTTCTCTTTTTTTAAGTCAGTCTAGCTATATGTCAATTTCGTTGATCTTTCCATAAAACCAACTTGTTTTTGATTTCTCTATTGTTTTTCTATTCTCTATTTTCATTTATCTCTGCTCTCATATTTATTATTTTCTTCCTTCTGCTTTTAGTTTACTTTGCTCTTTTTCTAGTTCCTTAAGGTGTATAGTTATTGATTTGAGATATTCTGTCCTTTTTAATGTAGGCATTTACAGCTATAAATTTCCCTCTGTGCACTGGTTTTACTACATCCCATAATGTTTTCACTTTCATTTATCTTTTTAAAAAATTTTTTAGTTTCACTTGTGACTTTTTCTTTTACCCATAGGTTAAGCACTTCATGTAATTTTGTTATGCTGTTTTCACTTTCATTTATCTTTTAAAAAAATTTTTTAGTTTCACTTGTGACTTTTTCTTTTACCCATAGGTTAAGCACTTCATGTAGTTTCCACAAACTTCTGAGTTTTCCAGTTTTTCTTCTATTAGTTTTAGTTTTATTCTATAGTGGTCAGAAAAGATACTTTGTATGATTTCAGTCTTTTTATATTTATTAAGAATTGTCTTGTGGCCTAACATATGTTCTATTCTGGAGAATTGTTCCATGTGTACTTGAGAAGAATTTGTATGCAGTTGTTGTTGCATGAAGTGTTCTGTATATGTCTGATAGGCTTAATTGATTTACAGAGTTGTTCAAGTCCTTTTTTTTTAATTGATCTTTTTCATTCTTTTTTATTGGGCTGTTTTATCCATTATGGGTATTGAAATGTCCAGCTGTTATTGGATAATTGTCTATTATTCCATTCAATTCTGTCAACTTTTGCTTACTATATTCTGGGGCTCTATTGTTAGGTGCCTATGGGTTTATAATTGTGGTATCTTCTTGATAGATTGAACCTGTTATCAATATATAATGTCCTTCTTTATCTCTTGTAACCCCTTCTGATTTAAATTCTATTTTCTCTGATAGTGATATAGCCACCCAACCCTCTTCATTATTTACACAGAATATACTTTTCCATCTTTTTCTTTCAAACTCTTTGTGTCTTTGTATCTAAACTGAGTCTCTTGGAGACATCATACAGATGTATCATGTTTTTTTAATTCATTCTGACAATCTCTGCCTTTTAAATAGGAAGTTTAATTCATTTACATTTAAAGTAATTACAGATAAGTATAGACTTCTGCCATTTAGCTATTTGAGTTCTGTATGTCTAATATGCTTTTCATTAAATTCCTGCACTACCTTTTTTTTGCATTAAGTAATGTTTTTGTATTGTACAATTTTGATTACCTTCATCCCTTTTCTGTATATTTAAAGAACTATCTCCTTAGTGTTTACCTCAGGGGTTACGATTAACATCTTAAACATGTTAACAACTACATCTAAATAATACCACTTTAATTTCAATAGTATACAAACACTGTGCTCCTATACATTTTCATCCTTCTTCCTTTATGTTGATCTTTTCACAGGTTATATTTCTATACATCGTCTGATCATTAAAATAGATTTACAATTAATTTTATGCATGTTTTTGTCTTTAGAATTATACAGAAAAGAAAGAGGAGTTACAAACCAAAACTACAGTAATATTGACTTTTATACTTACCTATATAGTTAATTTTATTAGTATTCTTTATTTTTTAATATGGCTTTAGGTTATTATCTATTCTCCTTTCTTTGCAGCCTTAAGTCGTCCCTTTAATATTTCTTGTAGGGAAGTTCTACCGGTAAAAAGCTCCATTAGCTTTTATTTATCTGAAATGTCTTAATTTCCCCTTCACTCTTGAAGGATAGTTTTGCTAGATACAGAATCTTGCCTAACAGTTTTTGTTGCTGTTGTTTGTTTTTAATTTCCAGCACTATATATATATTATATATATATGTATATATATATATATAATATATAATTCCATTGCCTCTGCTGAGTAATTTCTGTTCTATTCCTTCTGGAACCAAGGACAATAAACTGCTGTTTTTAAGACTGCCACTAATACCAGAAGGGGATGGGAACAATGGCAAGTGAAGATACAAAGGTTTTCTACCATCAAGTTGCCTTTTTCTTGATTCAGCATTCACTTGTTTGCCATGAACTTTTGACAGTTTCCCAGAATTCTGACAAAGTTGGTTCTGAAGATTTGTTGTTGTGTTTTTTCCTCCCGTTTCTATGGAGGGACAGGAGTGTAGAGCTTCCTACTAGCCATTTTGCTGTCCTCACTCCCCAGTTGCTTAGTGTGGGACAAGTCACAACCTATCTGTATCTATTTGCTCCTTAGTTAAACAGCACAACTACAAAAATGGCAATATGGCTGTAGTGAGGATTAAATACAGTAACATGTAAGACTTTTACAAAATATAATGCAGACAAAAACCCAAAAAACATACTTTAGGAAACATGTTACTTGTTTTATGAACTACATCAGTTATATCACTTTTATGATGCTAGAGAAGGATTTTTAAATGGTGAGCAAAATAGTTAATTTTACATACATGTTTTTCTTTTTACTTCTACCTAAAAAATATACCTTATCTTTTACCAGCCTGAGCAGTTCTCTAGAATCAACTAGAGAAAAGTACTGGTTTTATTTCAACATTTTATTGAACTTTTTATCTTACACAGTTTACCCAAAATATTTAATATACCAGTAAGACAAACTTAAAAAAAAAAAGACATACAAACCAAACACCTCTTTTAGCTGAGGTAATATGGTATAAGATTCATTGTCAAATCACAAGTTTTTGTTACTCTGCTATATAACTTGGTACCATATCAATGATACTCAATGACTCAAAAGTAAGACATCACACACTCAGTTTATATGTGTGTGAGAGAGAGAGAGAGAGAGAGAGAGAGAGATTATGTACAACTACTTGAAAGAGAAGAGAAAGCAGAAATGCCAACTTTAAGTATCACTGAAATTCTAGTGCAATGTGAATTGCTACCAAGAGATTTTATTTGCTCAATGTAAGTTTTGAAAATAATTCAACACTGGTGATGTTTTTTAGAGCCGGCTGAGTGGTCTTTTCTGCTCTGACAGATTAGTAAGCTAACTGAAAGCAAACATCTTCCACAATCTCAGTTGATAAAACAAACATCAAAACAGTGATTTTATGTTTTGTTTTTTATTTTCTGAGGAGTCTTATAAATACTTGGATAGAAATACTGAAGTATTTGTACCCAACCAATGAAGTGAATGTTTTGAGCAGTTATAACATAGCCAGTCCTAAAAAAACAGTTGTGAAAGTCAGGCACATGTGCAAAATTGAGCAAGATCTCTTATTCCTTCAGTTTTATGTTTCTACAAACACTGGCTAAGGTATTAAGTACCACAATTTTCAAATTAGCTTGTTTCTACTGTCTCATATTTATAACATCTAGTGCTCTAAGTTTGAGGGAGGGCTTGAATAAATAACCTTGTTATCCTAAGGATTTTTTTTAAGGGCCCTTAAAATAAAATTGAGAAGGGCAGCTCTGTAAAGTCTATATACATATGTCTAGTAAATCAATTAAGAAATTCATTTGACATACTATGCTAATATTTACCACTTTCTAATTCAATCACTTTCATTCTATATAATTCAAATTAAGAAACCCTTAGCTTAATTAAGGCAAGCGTATCACAAGCTCCATGGCCAAAATATGGCTTATATAAGAGACCACTGGGCCTTTGGAACATTTCAATAGAATCTTCTTCACAATGCTATTAGTCATAATGAGTTAAAAAGTATTATTCTGAGCTATTATTATCTTATGAGATGTAACCCATGGGTATTTGGTTTTGGTACCCATAGGTTAAAGAAAAATAGCAATTTTAAAAAGAGGAAGAGTGTATCTGATGGTAATTTTACTTATTCTTTTCTAAATACAGTGAAACATATTCATCCAGCCTAAATTTAAGTGTTTGACTTTTAAAGATTTATGTTTCAACTAATTCAGAATGGCACTAAAAAATAATTAGTATTTTACTTTCTGATTTTCAATTTTAGTTTTAATGTTAATTTGTATTCTTTCTCCAAAGAGACAGAAAATAGACCAACCTAACTTGTGTGTGGTTGTATGTCAGCCTATCAGCCTTATGATTCCACAATGAAACAGATTTATGTAACTTTATTTTCATGCTAACTTTTAACAGATAATCTTGAAATATCTCATTTTTAGCTAGATAAAAGACCCCACAGATTTTCACTAGTAAATACTTGATTCCATTCAAATTCTGTTCTAGAAATTTCTGAAATTTAAACTTTTCTGGTTTATTTTGATCTGAAATAGCCATGATTATAATAAAAATAAAGGGTTTTTAGGAAGTTTAGATAAACATCTAAAAATTTATTTAGGTCAAATGCAATGAAAGCAATTTAAATGCCATAGGTTGGACAATGCAAATTATAATCTAAAAGACTGACCATAAAATACAGAATGTGATAATGGTGTTTTAATTTTATTTCACCCCTCTTGGCAGAATTAAAAAATGGAAAACTTATGTGTTTCAGTAATTAAAACACACACATACAGACATACAAACACACACAAAAACAGTATAGAACTGCTACTTATGTACTGTTTCACACTTTTTGGAGATCATACTTTTGTCCCAACACTATTAATCACAAAAAGTAACCATTTCTGTGACATTTAACAAGAACAAGAAATTTCAATTTGTATGCATTCTAGGTTGGACAAAATCAGTAGAAAGTCGCTGCACTTTAGATAGCTAAATGGTTTGTGGTAAAACTGTGATCATCCACACAAAGAAATAAAGCTTTAAAATATTTAATGATGGATCAGTCAAATGCATATCATTTTACTATAGAGCCTATCCACCAAATTAAATTTAGAAACAGAATTTTTTTATTAAACTGATAATGTTTTTGCTTGCTATATGTTGAAATGTAATTTTGCCCCCCTCATCCATAAAGCACAAGAACAAATTTCCTTTAGGGTCTGTATTTTTCCTTCAGTATTCATCCAAACAGTTTAAATAAACAGTGATAAAGACAACTTGCTTTTCCCTTTACGTATATCTAGCTTGAAGTATAAAACTTTAAGCAAAAACTGAAAGAAAATAAAAATGGGAGCCATTATTCAATGATGACTATATGGTAAACAAGAGGAACAAATTCCCAGGTAAATTTTAATTTTGTCTCCTGCAAGACAAGTCATTCAGATATGAAAGGCAAGTGAGGTTCCTTTAAGTACCCAATTTGTAAATGTGAAAACAGTTATAGTTGTCATGATTATTTTATATTCTCTCTTAAGTGTGGTTCTAAAAATAGCCTGACAATTCACAAAACTAGATAAGCAAACCAAACTTTATACACATATGACAAGTTTTAAGTTGCTGGCACTGAAACACTGGGTTTGGATATGGACAAGTATGCTATATTTGACTTAAATCTTTTGGGTTAAATTGGCTTTTGATGTTTTATTCTGATGTTCAAGCAGAAAGTGCACTACTTCATTTTATTTAATAAGCTTATCTAAGAGTACAGAATTTGTAGGGATGATGAAGGAATTCCAGGTTATATGTGTGTACATAAATGGCTTTATATAACACACATATGTATAGCCATTAAAATAGTTATATAAGGACAATATAAGGACAATGCAATTTAAAACCCTTCAACTCCTGTTTACAGATAGCCAAATCTAACCCTTTTAGTCTTTTTCAATGATGACATAATTTATTTCCTTAAAGGTGAAACCTCCTGATACTGTACACTGTATTAAGAATAATATACCAATGTCAATCTAGAAGGTAAAAAAACATGTAATAAATACTAAGGTCAGATGGAATAGATTCGACTCTCTGAAATTTTGTTTTATATTTGATGATAAATTTTTGCTTCTGCCCAGGTTCACTTTTTCTTCAGCATGTAGAGTGCTACACTAGTTAGAATTTAATTGATATGTTATTTTTACTGAGTTTTCAGATTTGAAATAGTTTTGATCCAAAATATACACCTATGCGTTAAAAAATAATGAAGAGTCAATATAATCAGCATGGGCTTTTTCTACCAGTTTCACTTTCCAATCCACTTTTCCCCCCAGTATTTCACTTTTATCCCTCATAATTTCATAGCAAATTATCCAGATTATGTCTTCTACACTAACCAGTGATAGAACCTAAATTTCAAATGCTATTTTGAAGAAGTGTAGAGTAAATAATTTTGGTAATCTGTAAAACAGCTGCATGCAGTGTGTACTGAATTATAACAGCACCAAACCCTTTATAAAAACCAAGCACTCCTTCCTCTTGCTTTATGGTATTTATACAGTCTCTCATTCCCTCATACTGTGTATTAATTGGAAGCACTTCATAGCCAAGGTCTGTATTGTCAATGATTGTGCGTGTTCCTTGAATGTGAAGGCGGTGCAAAACTGTTTCCAATGGGTAAAGTATAATGTCAGAGCAAAGACTGGCAGCAAAGTTAGCAATAAGTTCTGGAAAATAAGCATCCAACATATTCTGCATAGGACTAGTGCTCTCAGCTAGATGGCTATTATAAGTCTTTCTCTTTAGAATTAGTAGGACAAACTTCTGAATGACTGAGCTGATGATGTAATGAAGAACTCCATGCAGCACCGTAGGGAAGATCAAGGAAAGAAGCGGAAGAAGTCGTTTGCTATGAGGCACTCCCATGCCTATCACTCTTCCAATTCCTTCTCTAACACATTCCAAAATGCCAGTATTATCTCGAATTATCTCACTCTGAAATAAAAATGATGAAAAACGTAAAACTTAACATTTGCTTATTTTGCCACAAAAAAGAGACACTTACTTGGTCCCTTTTAAATACTAGTTTTCTGACTAAAGAGGGAAAACATCAACGGTTTGCATACTTCAACTGTTACCTAAGCATTCAATTCTTTTTTCAAATGAAATCTTATAAAACAGGTACTGTGAAGTTGGGAGCTATTCCTATTGGGGAAAGGAGATCGGGGTGATGTGGAGGTGAATACATCAGTTTTCCCCAACCTTAAGAAGCTCCTTAGAACTCATCTGAACAAGCAACAACTCCATGATGGCTAAGGAGGCAGTATAGTGCTTAGAGTTCTTAAACACAGGTCTCAATCCTGCCTCCATTCCTTACTGCTTATGTAACCATTGGCAAGTTACTTAACTTCTCCAAAGCTTTAGTTTACCATTCCATAAAAATAAAAACTAGTACTACCCACTTTTTATGCACAGAATTGTTGTGAGTGTTCAATGAAAAAAGGCTTGGTACCCAGTAGGCACTCAATAAATGTTAGTCTTACTATCATCTGCAACATCTGCCTTTTTATAATTTTGGAGATGTGAACAAAAAAGTTTGCAATACAGATTACAGAGATACAAAAAGGCAGAAAAAAAAAAAGAAAAAAAAAAAAACAGCTAAAAGGCTAATTTAGCTGCAGCAAGACTGCAGAAGAGTAGAAGATGAAGTAAAAAAGGTAGCCAGGGGCCATACCATGCCTCATACACCACTGTACAGACTCTGGCTTCTAGTCAGATGGGAAATAACTGTTTGATTTTATGTAGAAGATGGATATGAAACAATTTACACTTTAAAATAATACTGACATTTGTACAGAGGTAGTTGAGAGCAGAAGCTGAGAAATCAGTTAAAAAGTCACTGCAATTATCCAGTAAGGAGAAGATGGTGGCTTGGACTAGGAGGAAGTAAAGTGGTTCAATTGTGCTTTTATCCTAAAATCAGCCAACAAGAATTAGTAGTGGATTACACTGGAGGCATAAAAGAGAGGAGTCAAAGGTGACCCCAAGTTGATTGTCCAGTGGAAATGAAGGAAGAGCACTAACTTTTACTGAGCTGGGAAATATTGCTGGAGCAGCAATTTGGGGGAGAAGATGAAGAGTTCTGAAATGCTAAGTATATAAACTCCAAGTGAAATTTACAATCAAGATTATAAGAAAAAGGTCCAAGCTGGACATTTTGCAATTGTGGGAGTTTTCATTAAATAGATTGTCTGGCTACTGCTAAGCTACGGCTAAGGCCTGGAATCCTCATAGCACCAATGGTCTAGCTCTTAATCCTGTTCATGACACCAATTGTAAAGCTAGGTGACCATGCTAGTTGTCACGGCTCTTTTACCTGCTGGTAATCCTGCACCGACTGGGCCAATGGTTGAGCTAGGGCTGGGTCTGGAGCTCCCAGACCCCTCAAGCCCATTCACAGACTGGGTCACAAACCCTTCACATGCCAGACTGGGTCACCAGACCCTTCCATGCCAGGCTGGGTCACCAGACCCTTTCACACAGGTTTATGAGCTAGGTAACCGGCAACACAGTCCTTGGAAGCTGCAGGTATGGAAAAACATGGCCACACAGGGCGGGCACCAGAGGCAGTAAAACACCAGCCAAGGCAGCGCTATGTGGGCACACTCACTCCACCCACACAATGTTTACTGAACAATCCTGAACCGGCTCTGAGGCAAGGGGGGCCTGACCAAACTGTTCCACCTTCCCAACATAGATGATATTTAAAACTATGAGACTAAAATGAACTTGCCTAGCCTACTAACCCATTTCCCTACTTCTGACCCCAGTACCCTTCCCACTCCAGTCTATTTTTGAAACAACAGTCAAAGAGATCCTAATAAAGACAGAAGTCAGATCATTTCACTGTTCTTCTCAAACCCGCCAAAGACTTTCCACCTCTCCCCAAGTAAAGGCCAAATTATTATAATGATCTACAATGTCCTATATGATCTGGTCCCCACTTACCATTCAGGCCTCATCTCCTGTTTTACCCCTTGCTTAGGTAGCACCAACCATATTGGTTTCCTTTCTACACCTCACACACTCATAATACAATCCCAACTAAGGGCCTTTGTACTTGCTTTCCCTCTGTTTAGAATGTCCTCCGAAATACCCATGTTGTTCTTAGTCTCAGACCTTTACACAAATGTCACCTTCTTAGTGAAGCCTTTCCTGACTTAAAAACATATTAACTGCCTCTTCCTACCCACTTCACATCTTATTTACCTTCCTTGCTTAATTTTCACTTTCTTTAGCATTTATTACCATCTAATATACTTTATATTTATCTTATATTATTGTGGGAAGATAGACATCAATAAGTGCTATGACGGCAGAGAGTTTTTGTCTGTTTTGTTTGCTGCTGTATCCCCAGGGTTTGGAACAGTGCTTGACACAGGTTGGCACTCAATAAATATTTAGTGAATTAAAAAAATGTTCAGGGGCCGAGCCCATGGCACACACTTGGGAGAGTGTGGCGCTGAGAGCGCAGCAGCGCTCCCGCCATGGGTTCGGATCCTATATATGGATGACTGGTGCGCTCACAGCGCTCACTGGCTGAGCGTGGTGCGGCTGGTCTCAAAAAGGACAAAAAAAAAAAAAAAAGTTCAGCACTTAGGGAAGACAAACTGAAAAGATAAAGTGAAGTCAATCAAAACCTTGATTTAGGGCCGGCCCGGTGGCACGCTCAGTAGAGTGCGGCGCTTGGGAGTGCAGCGGCGCTCCCGCCGAGGGTTCAGATCCCATATAGAGACCGGTCTGCTCACTGGTTGAGCGTGGTGCGGGCACGATACCGAGGGTTGTGATCCCGTTACCAGTCACGAAAAAAGACAAAAAGGAAAAAAAAAACAAAAAACCTTGATTTAATACTATGCTGAGAAGATCTTAGGGAATATGAGTCAATACGGATCCTTAATCAGCAAAGATATAAGCACTGCAACTTAAGAACACTAATCTTGCATGTGTACATAGAACGAACCTTTAAAATGAAGGGACTGGAACAAGGATCCTTAATGAAGAAATGGATCACTAGAAAGTTCTACTCGTGGGCTTCAGTAGGTGTTCTTCAGGAGATCTATGTATAAATGTGTGGTTTTCAAGGAAAACAAAGGTCTCAAAGAGATCTGAGCTCCCCATAAGGCAAAGAACCACTGAGTATAAAGCAGGAGGAAAGAAGATAATGTAATAAGCTGAGTATGTGGTAAAGAAGGGATGAGAATGGAGGCCTATCGGTGTGGAGAAACAGACAAATCTTAGAACTTATTCAAGTTAGAACTAAGAAGGCATGATGACTCATTAGCTATGAAGGATGAAAGAAACATAAAAATCAAAAACTTTCCTAAAACTAGAACTACAGTGTTGAATCTTTAGGGTGAAGATAACAATACTGCCTTTAATATAGAAAGTGAGAGGAGGGTCTAGATGAGATTGTTTTTATAAGTTAAGCTTGAGGTGAAGATTTAATTTACAAAAAGAGTAGAGTTAAAATTATTCATGTGAGTAAATGAGCTCTCCCAGGATAATGAATATAGTATAAAAAAAAAAAGGGTCAAGGATTGAGCCTTAAGGTACAACAGAAGGGATGGTAGAGTAAAGAGGTTACTGAAAGAAGATAATGTTCAAGAAAGTAGAAATCTCAGAAGGAAAAAAGAGTTCTAGAAAAGCAGACAAAAGGAGTCAAAAGGAGAGAGTTAGCAGATGGAATCTGGAGCAGGATGGACATTAGGTTAAAAAACACAGAAAAAAAAAAAAAAAACCCTTATCATATAGTGAGCTGGGCACTTACATAAATAACTCATTTAATTTTTATAACTCAGTTATTAAAATACTATTCCCATTTTATGAATGAGAAAATTAATCATCACTCTGCTTAGTTTTTTTCCTTATATAATTACCTTCTTGCTACTTTTTTTCCCCCTTATCTTTAAAATGGCAATATGGTATAGAGTAATAACTCTGTAAATTTTATAGCACCATACAAAGGTTCTATCATTTATTAACACAATGCCAAATGCAAGGGAAAAGGAAAGTACATTTGGGTCACTAGATGTTAAGTTCATTTGACTGAAGTTAGCTTTAACAACAACAGCAAAAAAATTCAAAGGTCAGTGACCGGGCCAGAAAAGAAAATAAGTTGAAAAGAGTAAGTAGAAGAGGAAAGGCTGATCCACTGGGGGTTTTTAGAGAGAGAGGGCACTCATACATACTAGGGGAAAAAATATGCTAGAGGATCTAATACTGGAGACAGAAAAAAGGTGTACAAATAGTTGGATTTTGTGTATAGGTAAAGTTAGAACTACCTCATCTTACAGTTTTAAGTGTAAATAAGAATATAGTGAGAGTCATTTAATTCAATGTACTTGAAGCGCCACCATGTGCTTAGGAATAGTAAAACAAGCACACAGAATTTAAAATGCTAGCAGGAATTGCTTTAGCTTTCTAGTACTTACCACAACAATAATATCAAATATTCCTTAAAAGGCATATTTAAAAAGAATGTTGTTAGTAAATTACCTATGGGGACCACCTGCTCACTGTCAGGATGATTATCCATCATGTTTATGCTCCAGTAAATATTAATTTACTGTCTTGTCCTATGACAAGCCATAATCATCTGAGTTGTACATAAGGGCCTTAAAAAGTTTATAGATTCTTTGTATTCAGAGAGTCATAGGCTGGGTTCTGAAATATTTGAATGAAGATTATAGTTGCCTATGGAAGGAATAAAAATAATTAAAACTGGAAGTGTGACCTAAATTTGCAATGGAAATATATATATCAGCAATGTGGAACTTATGTGTGGTGCCTCTGAAATAAATATTTTAAAAGGATACTTTCTTACATTTTCCTGCTACAAAATCAGATATACGTAACATATTGATTATTCCAAAAAAATATTCTTAACTATAAAAAGACAATAAAAAATAGCTCACCTGTACCGTTTCAATTAGACTTGCTGAATAAAATGGCATTGCTACCACATAAGTTAGGCTGTAGAAATTAAAATAAATTTATCAGTACAGTGAAACAGGATGGTTACACTAAACTTTTTAATATCTGCTTTTATAAATTAACATAATTTACATTCAAGATAGAATGATGTTTTTAAGGTTTTCGAACATTAATACCTATGGCCTAAAGATATTAACTTCTGAGATCTGTAACATAGGATGTTTTATTCAAGGGAAATGAAAAAAATCAAGTATTAATAATAATACAGGGACAGCCTGCAAAGAAAATAGATTTTATTTTAAACTAATAAAATGTAGGCTCATTTGTGATTCCTTGTTTGGACAACTACCTGCACAGAGCTAAATGAAGCCTATGATACTTAAATATTTAGGATGAAAGATCCATTCCTTAGCTTGCCTATTTAGTGATGTTTGAACAAGTACATTTTTCTGCTATTATCCTGTTATCATTATCTACTCCCAGACTTCCCATACAGCAGAGCAAAGCCAGACTTCAGTGGTGAGTGAAGCCCCCTTTTATTTTCAAAAACAATATTATATAGCTTTGCAAAGTTGTTTCTTTTCAGCAATAATTAGACATAGTAATATTACAACTCTGCAATCCTGCAAAATACAAGGGATCTTCAATAAGTTCATGGAAATATTCATATTATATTTTAATTCTATTTTTTCATGAACTTTCCGAAGTACCCTTGTATAGTTATTTAAAATAATATCAAGGTGGGACTTACCTAACCCTTATGGGCCAAGTCCTGGCAAATAGTGGTTTTCAAGGTGAATGGAACATCACTAAGTAATAATGTGCTGGAATGTCCCATAGAGGGAGCCAGCAGGCTGGAGGATTTCCAATTCACAATCTTCAAAAAAAATTAAAAAGTGAAGAGTAAAATCCTAGTCTACAAAAATTGTTACTGTTGTAAAAATCACTAAGTGCCTTTAGGACTGTATTTTAATGTCACTAAGGTTTTGGTTTTTTTCATTACCATACAAATACATTTGTATCTCTGCTTAATAATAAAATGATAATTTTCTTGAAAATTTGGCTTAAACAATTTGAAGACCTTTTCTAACTTCCTAAGAACAGAGGAATACATTAGGCTGTGATGCCGGTCTTTCAAATTTAGTAAGATTTATTTTAAAGATAATATGTATTTAAGAATTTTATTCCTAAACTCTATGATACTTGTCTTTTGAAGTTCTATTCCTACAAATATTTCATTACTATAATTTCCTTCACTATACTTATTTAATAAGATTTTTTTCAATTCTAACACTATAAAAATTTCCAATAAAAATTCCATTTTGACACTTACGATTTCAGTAGAAGGTGTTCTCCGATTTGTTTAGGATTCCACTTGTGTGAAATCTCCCTACAATGTAAAGATAAATTTAAATAAAACGAAAGCCATGTTATTTAAAACATCTTGACTTAGCCCAATTTTCAAAAAGGTAATCAATTTCTAATATTTCATTTAATCTGAAGGAGAAATATATTCTAATGGTGAACATTTTCCTTTCTGGAACACATTTTGAACTACTGCGGTGGTTTGAAGAGAGCAAAAACATACAAGGTGTTTCTGTATATGCTAATAGAAGGAGCTGACTGAGGAGGAAGAGGTACAACAAACTATAAAAATGAACATGATAAGACATTAAAGAAATAGATATAAAAATAATAGGTTAAAAAAAAGAGAATGAATGGGGAAAGGAAAGGCAAACAAGGAACAAGATAAAGGAAGGAAAAAGGGCTTTACAAAGTATATAAGAATAAAAGTTTAAAAAGAGAACAAAATCAAGTAACTGTAATGCAGAAATACACATTACATTTGTACAGCAACTAATTTCCAAAGTGCCTTTACTCATTACGATGACATTAATTTTGTGATCATTATTATATTTTATTATCTTTTTGAACACCCACTATATGCTAGGCACTGTGCAAAGTACTTTGCGTGAATTATTTCTAATCCTCACAATGATCCTATTATCCCCATTTTGTAGATGAGGAAATAGGATCAGAGAGGGTTCATAACTTACTCAAAGCCATACGGCTAGTTAGTGTGGAAGTGGGTTCTAAACCCTGGCCTCTATGACGTAAGTCTGCACCCTGGCTGCACTTGTTCTCACCTTATTTGATACAAAGAAGAATCCTGTGAGATAAGCAAAGCAGGTATTGTCCTGTTTGATTTACTGATGAGAAAAATAAAGGTCAAAGAGATCACAGAGTATATTTAAAGGAAATAAGCAATAAGCAAAATGCCAGATCTGGAATGAGGGTCCAGGACCGTGTGCTTCTTGCTATTTAGGTTACCTTTGGAAATCAGGAAAAAAAAAAAAAAAAAGAAAGAAAGAAAGAGAGAAAGAAAGAAAAATGAAGAGAGGCAAGCTGAAATAGGACAAAAGGGTGATAAAAGGGAAAAAGTTTTATCAAGAGAAAAGTAAAAAAGGAGAGAATATGGAGAATAAAAAGGAAGGTAAATAAGAAGGCAGAAACAAGTGAAAAGGCAGAGAGAGGGGATAAAGAAGAGAATAAAGAAAAGAAAAGGGAGTGGGGAGAATAAGAGAAAAAGAGAAGTGCAAAATAAAGATGAGACTTGCTGCCACCAGTTCCTCTGATGGAACTGATACCCATTTCACCCTGGACACAGAAGAAACCTAAAAAACATTTTCTATTTGAAATAAATGAATGTGAAAAATATAAAGAGATAAAGAAATAAATACATTTTATATTAAAAGGGTGAAGAAAATTAAATGAAGTTATTAAAAAGGTAAATACCCTAAAAACAAACTCAGTACAATTATAGCACAGGTAGTATGCAAATGTTCCTACACTTTTTTATGAGACCAATAGAACAACCACCCATGATTTATAAGACCTCAGAGAGCCTCCGGGGCCAAACTCTGATGAAATTCATACTAGGATACTTATTTGGCTTGAACAACACAAAATATAGCTGAAATGGTATTCAACGATTAAGTCAAAAAATGAAAAAAACAGTTTAGACCTTGCATCTAACTGACAGTTACTTAATGATTATAAAACAAAATATGCTACATACTTTGTAAATCATCTTGGCACTGCTATTACTCTTACTGTGGTCTCAGAAAGTAATACTATACGTTATTATGACATTGATTTTAAGCATGAAACTATCATCAACACTATGGACAGATGGGTCTGTGACCCGAGTTTCTGTAAGGGCAGAACCACCACCCCTTTAAATACAGTGCTAATTATGACTCCAATTCTTAAGATCATTAAGATAAAAGAGGAGAAAAAAAGATTTAAAACACTATTAAACAGATTGAATTAGCATATGTAAATGCTTCAATAAGAGGGTAAGTGTAAAAAACTTACTTGTGATTAAATCTTTTTATATTTCATCATCAAATACCAAATATGTGTGAAGATATTTTAATTCACTATTTTCAAGCAAAAACTGCCCTTGTAAATGAGCAACAAAATGAAGAAAATTGATTAGAATACCTTGCTTTTCTCAAAATAGTCTGGTTTTCCATTTGACAGATTAAAATGCATACTCCTATGCATAATCAGTGCACAAAAGCAATAGAATTTTAAAAGTACTCTATAACTAGTCTTAATTTCCACATGGTGCAATAGTTTCCCTTTAAAATACAAACAAACCAAAAAACACTTCCCTCAACCCACTCCAAACTCTTCATCTTCCAGTTACCTGTCTTCATCTCTCTTCACAGCCAACTTTGTAAACTTGCTATATCCACATCCTAACTTTCCACTCACCTATGAACCCACTCCAAATTGACTCCTACCCCATTATCTTATAAAAACAGCCCTTGCCAACATACCCAATAACTTCACTAAATCCAATGGACATTTTTAAGTCTGTACCCTATTTGACATTTCAGCAGCCATCAGGCATGCACTTGTGTTCCTCCCTCCTTCTTGAAGAACTCTTCGCACCTGGTACTCCACTAGCCCATATACTCTTTTGGTTTTTATCCTCCCTTCTGGTCTCTCCTTCTATCTCCTTTGCGGGATCACCTTAACTCAGCCACCTATTGCTAGAGTTCTTAAAGGCTTAGGCCCTCTTTTCTTACTCCATATGGTATTCTCCTTCACTAGGCACTCTCATCCAAAATAATGGCTTCAAAATCTCCAAAATTTATTTAACTTCAGTTAAGACTTTTCCTCTTTATGCCAGCCTCATATCATCTACCTGCTGACAACTCAACCTGGATATGATAAATGACCCGAAAATGAACTTATCCAATAAAAAGTCTTTCTTCCTAATTAGACTCTTTTAGTGCTTCCTATTTAGGAACTGTTGAACCAGAAAAGAAATCTATTGAATTAGAGGAAGATTTCACTGTGTTTAAAGTAACATGAATTTATTTATTTATTTATTTATTGGCAGTGGGCCAATACAGGGATCTGAACCCTTGATCTTGGTGTTATAAACATCATGCTCTTATCACCTGAGCTAACTGGTCAGCCTAAAAATAGCATGTGTATAAAGTAAGTGAATTCAGAGAAATCATTGGGAGAAAACTGCAGGTTGTTTACACTGGTACAACCACAAATGTGAGAAGAGTCAAAACTAAGTTGGAGTTTAACCAAATGGGCTTTGTGAGAGACTGAACCACACAGGTAGCCTTGGTTATAGGAGCTCCTACCTCATGGTAATGATACATGAAAAGCCACATGTAAATAAAGTAAAGCATATTTTGGAGTAGAACATCACAGGGTCTAACTCACTCCAACCGGTGGAAAGTTAGGAAGAGGATTGGGAGAGGGTCTAACAGTAGACAAAGAGGTCACAGATGATGGTCCTGGGTCACATACATTTTCTTTAAAAAAAAGTAATACTGAGAAACTATAAGCTTGATGACCTAATGGGCACTAGATGTCTGTGGTTTTTCTCTCTGATGTGATAATCAGTATAAAAAAGTAAATATCAGCAAATCCATACTGTTGTGCCTGTTCTACCTAGCAATCATTGTGCAATTAAGAACCCCAGTCAAGGAGACCTCAGAGCTCATCTTTTTCATGTGGTAGTTTCTAGTATGAACTGCTTTGAGTTATGACTTCACTGCCTTGTTTGCCATGACTCTGCTTTACCTCAAGAAAGGTCAACTCTGCCCAATGAAGAATAAATAATTTAAAAAAAAAAAAGATATTTACACTCTACTTCAGAAAATGGCTTCATTTGAAACCCAGTTATACAAGCCCAAATCCTAGAAGTCATCCTTGATACTGCCTTTTCCTTTATCTACCACTCCTAATTCATCACCAACTTCCATCAATTTTACCTAAGAATATTTCAAAACTGTCCACTTACCTCCATATTGAAAGAAGCTACCCTGGTCTTAGCTACTACCATCATTTCTCACCTTGATTATTGTTATAGCTTACTAAGATGCCTCCTTTTATCCACTTTGGTTCTCCTGCAGTCTTTTCATCTATAGTTACAAAAACCCTTTGAAAACATAAATCTGATGTCATTGGCCTTGCCTAAAACTCCTCAATATCCTTAAGGTGCCCTACCAGGCTTTTGTGCATTGATTAAATTGTGTTCCCAAAGTTCATATATTAGAAGCTTAATTCCCACTGTAACTGTTGAGGATGGGAAATCCTATTATGGTAATTGAAAGGTGGGGCCTTGAAGAGGTGATTAGATTCTAGGACCATGACCTAGTGAATGGATTAATAATGATGGCTGATAGTTTGGAGGTGTCATTCCTCCAAAGCTCATGTCAAAATCTGATCCCCAACTTGGCGATGTTGGGATTGGTTTGGCTTATGGGGGCAGATCCCTCATGAATAGATTAATACCCTGGGGGATGGGGGTGTCATGAGTGAGTTCTTGCTCTGCTAGGTCCCACGAGAGCTGGTTGCCCCCTTCTTGCTTCCTCTCGCCATGTGATCTGCTTGTACCCACCAGCTGCCTGCCATTTTCCACAGTGCGTAGGAGCAGCTTGAGGCCAGATGTAGCTGTCCCAGAATTGTGAGCCAAATAAATCTTTTTTCTATATAAATCATTCAGTTTCAGGTGTTCTGTTATAGCAAAACAAAAATGAACTAATATAGCAGCCAAGTGCTTGGTTCTGAAGGCTTTAAAAGAAGAGCTCATGAGAGTTTAGTCTTTCTCTGCTCCACCATTTTCTGCCATATGAGATCCCTGGGTCACTGTTGCCACCACCAAGACCTTTACCAGATGTGTTCCCTGGACTTTGGACTTCCTAGCCTTCGAAACTATAAGGAATAAATTTCATTTTCTTACAAATTACCCAGTTCCATACATTTTGTTATAAGCAACAGAAACAGACTAATACACAGGCCCTGAGTGGTCTGGCTCTCATCTAGTACTTCAGCATTGTCTCACACCAC